ATTTCGTGGCAAATTAAGGCTGTTGAATTTCGTAGCTTTTCTTTCAGGAAGGTTTTTTGTAGTTCTTCTAAATAATCCATATTTTATTCGTGTTTTAGAAACAATTGACGTGAGAGTTCTTTTATAGCCTGGTTACATATAATCCATTTCTTCAGTAAGCTCAAGAGCACATATATTCCTGTTCCGTATGTTCAATACTTGAAAATAATTTCTTTTTGATGAATTTGGTTTAGGAAGTCGTCCTGCTTTTGATCTATTTTAAAATAATGACTTCTGATCTTAATTTACCCAGGGAATATTTGATACAAACCAGGGAACATACATTTGCTTCATTTTTCTGCACTACCAACCAGCATGATATAATGTACGTAGCCTATTTCCGCTTTTTGTAGATATTTTTTGTGATTGGGATTATTTTTTAGGTAAAAATTCAGGAGAAATATAATTTAATTGTTAAAACCCTTAACTAGTATATGTGAAAAAAATTACCATAAGATGGTATCTACCTTTGAAATATGTATTCAACTAAACTTGAACAAAAATATAATGGAAGTTAAATCAGATGTTTTAACCATGATACAAGTAATGTTCATTCAATAAAATTTGTATTTCTATGTTGCTAAAATTTTCAGTATATGTGTGTATTTATATGCGCAATATATTGTATGCATTTAGCTTATAAATATCGATTCTTATAAAGGTATTGATAATAACTTTTGCGAGTGTTTGTTTTATGTAAACAAAGTGCATCATAAAATTTCATTAAGATATAAATCAAAAAAGAAAAAAATATCGGCTAGAGAAATACATATTTGATTAACACAATCTGCCATATAGGTTAATATCGAATGTATGGCATTCTAGAGTGTTCCAATAACTTGGACCGATTTTAATGTGAAGTTTAAGCGTCTAATGACTTTTTCTTTTTCTTTCAGATTTGGTGAACATTTAGGCGATATTATTTTTCACACATAATTGACATTACTTAAATAACATGATCTAATACAGAAATAAATAAATTTTAATCAATAACACTGATTTATTTACTGCTAACTTTGATCCGTTTTAATGAAACACTATTATATATAATCCGTTTTAATGAAACACCCTTTATAACCTTAATCAGTCCTTTATTAAGTGATTTTTTAACTAATCTATTGTTTTCACTGTTAACAATACCTACAACAATTTTTAATGCTTTCCAGAGATTTTCTTTGCTTTAATATTGTTTTCTACTTTTTATTCAATTTTAATTATGGGCCATTCTCTATTGGATTAATGTCTGGAGAGGTTAGGGATCATTCCATTTATTTGGTGATTTTAAACTTTTTGTTGCAAGATGGATAACCTTTACTTTTACAGAATATGAGTGAGTATTGCTATGCATTAATATATCGTTTAATTTAAAGTTTCTTGTGAATAGCACCAAAGACCCTTGCATTGAAAACCTCTTGCACTAAAATCTTCTTGTTTAAAAACTTACAAAAATTGCATTTATCTTGACACATTTCAACTTCGAAGGGGCCAGCGATTTATGTCCTACAATACTTGCCACAAACATTAACTCAGTTTTAACTATTGTGTTCTAGGCTGTGTTTGGTGACAATTTCTATGAAGTATCTAACCTTAGTCATCACGTCTATCAAACGCAGCTCTACATTCATCACTAAAAATTCAGAAATTAGTTTTTATTTAAGAAAGAAAGCCCAACAAACATAGATCTATTTGTAATATTACAACGTTTGCTTTCATGTCGTTAAGTCAATGTTCTTAATATTCTTAATATTCTACATTCTAACATTACAATTACACCAATATTTTCTTCTTGGTCAATCCACTTTATTACTTATTACACATTTAATGTTTCTTAAATCTCTTTGTGTAACATTCTTAAAGCCATTTTTGTTTTTATCTTCCTAATGTTTCATTTTTTTATAGTTTTGTGATCTCTGTTCAACATTTTCGAAATTTCTAACGTTTTGCTCCCATCTCTCAATAAATTTGCTGCTTCTTGTTGAGATTATATTTTGCTTAAAAACCATATCTTAATATCGGAAATTAAAAAATAAATAACAATAACTATACTATTATATATTTACAATATGATGAATAAGCATTGGGTTGCATAATTACATTTCGCATCAACAAATAGGTTATTGTATATATTTTGAATAAAAACAGATATAAGACCTCATATATAAATAATTATAACCTGAAAGTTTTACTAACACCAGATGCTTACTACTAATTTTATTGTGATAAAACATTTATTTATATAATAGAATCTGTGTCTGTATAAAACTTGCAAACAATTATTTTTATAGGGCTTCTAGTATTGATATAACACACAGCTTTTGTATTTTACCTTCATCATTTTTAAATCTGGTTAACTTACTCATCTGCATCGTTAGATTATTGCGTGAACTCATAATAATAAACTAAAATTAACATTGAAAACATTTCTTTTTAATGTCGGGAAATCTTTTAAAATGTAAATAAAATTATTTTCTTATAATCTTTCTTATAACATTGCTAAGAAACATTTATTTGGGACATTTATTTATCCCATCTTTTTAATATTGATATTGCCTACCTTCCCATACTCGGTGAGATCAGACCTGTTCTTGAAATTGTTTATAACATAAGATAGAAAGCAGGTCCTCCTGTTGAAGATGCAGTCGAATCGATACAATTTCTCTTTCTAGCTGCACTTTTTACTTTAGCTCAGCTGATGGATTATTTAGTATGGAGAACAGCTTCAAAAAATAGAACTTGTCTCCAATTATTTTTCGCCATTTAACTCCCATGATTCTCTACGTTGATCAAACAAAGAAAGTCAGTCCGATAAGGAATGAGACATTCCCTGGGCTTGTGTTGCTACGCTTGTCGCTTTTAATTTATTCACAAAAACTGTAAATGACGAACGTTTCTTGCTCTTATTTATGTTCTTGACAGTGAACAGATTAAAGATTTTCCAAAAATGTTGAACATTTTCATAGCAAGCTGGATGAAGAAGTTTCTCTCATGTAAAGGCAGACTAACAAACAGAGACTACTGTTGTTTTATCCTAATCATAGTTGCAAACAAGCTATTCAGGGTTCAGATCTCTGAATACCGCTAACGAATTAAAATTACAGAAAGAAAGTCACTAATTTGAAACATCTCTGTACTGAACGTGACTGAACCGAACTTGCAATGTTTCAATCCTGAGTTTGGGCCCCTTCAGTTCTTCTAAATATAACATGGGTGAAAGCGTCTCCTGTCCAGGATGTCGCCAATAACATGAAAATGAGCCCAACCCTCGTTTATATCGTTGCATTTGGTGTTACCTTGAGATTAACACGAAATGTGTATTTCGTATAGTGTTATATTTGCTTACCGGAATATCAAGGGTTTAAGAAACTCCTCCCACTAGGCGCATAATCTAATGAAATAAAAAAAAAAAAAATCAGAATGTAGAGCAAACAACTATCATCTATAGTGTTGCATTTATTTTTTTTTTCATCATGACCACGAATCCTGACACCGGGGTCATCACAGAAAACAAAAAAACAAAAAAAAAAAAAACGAAGAGCATATAACGTTATATTTGGTGACCGCAACCAGGATAGAAAGTGACCAAGAGATTGTCCACCATTACAATTGCTTCATCAAATAATGTGGACGTCGTTTTCACTCCTATTTCTCTTTTTTATGTTAAAGTTAAATGTTATGTTAAAGTTTAAGTGACAATAAAAAAGGAGACGTTTTTGCCTGAGATGATCTTAGCAATATCTATCTATATAATTTTTCTACTTCAGGTAATTATGCGAAATTTTTACTATCTTTTATTATACCATATTATGAGATCAGTCACTTTAAAAAATACTTCTGACATTTTTGGGGAGAGGAACCTTACTGCGTGAAAACGCGGTCACTTTAAGCCAGAAAACAGAGAGAATGCATAAGACAAAAAATATGGCGCCAGAGAATGAAGAGAAAGAGTAGTAAAACATTTGATAGAGATTTGACAGAGGTAAAAAGGCTTATAGGAAAGGGGAAGATTTCTTTCTTTTCTCAATTCTTTCTTTCTTTCATTCTTTTAGCCGCTGTTATTCAGTAAACTTAATAATGTATTAAATAATTAAGAAAATTCTCAACTAATATTGAATGATTGTCGGTGGAACTTAATTGAAGTTCAGAAATTAAAAATGAACTTTCACTGCAAAGGAAAGAGATTAACAACTTAAATGAGAATAATAAAAGGGAAAGTAGACCTTCTAATAATTAAATGGAAATTTCTTTAATGAAAAATGATCAATAGACGTTATCAGTGAAAAGATAAAAATAGGCAATTTAAGTTGCGGTCGACATCCCTTGTGTTTTGTTCAGATAATTCAAATCATGGTTGCCTTTTAAATTCACTTAAAAAGGATAGCTTCTGGAATAAATAACAAACGTGGGAAAAGATCTGCACTAACGACCAAAGCTTGTGCTTTTGAGAAATGAAAGAAGAAAAAACTGCAAGGAGAAATAGAAAACAATTATATTCTTTTATTATTCCAGTCAACAACAATTCAACAGTTTCTCGTATATTTTCCTGAATATGTTTGGTAAATGAATGAGACACGATCTCTTTTCATTTTGAAAAGAACTGAATTATTTTTTATTCTGAATTTTCTTTTTATTTTCACTGATTTTTTCTTGAAGTTTCCAGTTTCATCCTCTTTTAAAAACCTTTTTCATTTCTTTGTGTCATTGCTCAGATTTTCTATTTGGTTCGGCCTTTGTTTACACTCTTTCATTCACGCATTCATTGTTTCGCACGGTTTATTCCTATGACTTCAAAAATTTGTATTTCTTCTTTTATTAATTCATTTTTTCATTTATTTCTATAATTCCTTTATTTTTAATTTTATTGTAGTTTTCATTTTTATTTCTTTTATGTATTTATTTTTATTTTTTTATATTATCACTCGTTTCAGGAATGTCCTACTTTCTTATAATATTCTTTCTTCATAATGTTAATTTTAAGCTTTCATTCTCCTCGTTTCATTTATTCATTCTCAAAATATCCTTCTTCCATTCGCCTTTTCATTCTTTCATTCTGCTCCTTCCATTCGTTCATTCTCCTCATGTCGATCTTTCATTCTCGTTATTTCATCCTTTCATTCTCCTCATTTCATTCTTTCAATAATCCTCATTTCATTCTCCTCCTAATCATCTCATTCTTTCATTCTCTTCATTCCATTCGTTCATTCTCCTCATTTCATTCTTTCAAGCTTACAATTCATTCAACACGTCATTCATTTGTTCTCCGCCTTTCATTCTATTCATTGCATTCTTTCATTCTTCGCATGTCATCCTTTCATTCTCCTCATTCCATTCGTTCATTCTCCTAATTTCAGTCTTTTCTTCTCGTCATTTTATTCTATAATTCTCATCATTTCATTCTTTCATTCTCCTCATTTCATTCTCCTCATTTCATTCTCCTCATTTCATTCTTTCGTCCTAATCATCTCATTCTTTCATTCTCCTCATTTCATTCTTTCAAGCTGCCCAATTCATTCAACACATGTCATTCATTTGTTCTTCGCCTTTCATACTTTCATTCCCTTCTACTTATTTCATTTTCATCGTTTCATAAGAAATTCTTTTCATTTCATTCTTCCATTCGCTTCATTTCATTCCTTCATTCTCATTTCATTCCTTCATTCTCATTTCATTACTTCATTGTCTATTAATTCTTTCATTCCCATTATTTCATTCCTTCATTTTCCGAATTTCATATATTTTATTTCTTAAATTTCACTTTTTATTCTCTTCTGCAATTGTTCTTATAAATTCAAAAATTCCTTAAATTTATGAAATGTTCAATAAAAATAAGAATTTCATCAAAGGATTTCATGTTGAATAAGTGAACATTCTATGTTTGGGTTTCATTGTTTAATTGGATAAGATTAAGTAAAGGTTATTAAGAAATTCTTTTTTAATAAAATCCAATTGCAGAGGGAATCATTAAAGAATTATCACAGTTTTTCAAAGGAATAAAGTTAGAATTCATAGTTTCTGATAGCGAAATAAATTACTTGCTTTTTGACATTCTCTTTACTATTTTGCGTATCGCTAGTTTCTTTTTGTTTTGTTTTTTAAATTAATTACAATGAAGGGTTTGTAAAAGCATCTCAGTGACAACGCGTTAACATACAAATCTGTATGAAACCTATTCTGTTGTTTTGTTGTTTAATTTCTCCAAAGAAAATGTCAAGTCATTTCGCATGTAAACAATGGCCTGTTAGAAATTGCGACGGCAATCAAGTGATACAAAGTGAAAAACGTCATCAGCCTTTCAGAAAAGAAAAATAGACTCTCAAAGTTTCTATTTTTTAAATTCGCTCTGGTTGTTTTCAGTTTTAACACGTTTATTTTTCTCAAATGTTCAACGCTTAATGACATTATTGTCAAATATCCTGCTCTGTTTAAGATTCTTACATGGGTTATCAAGGGAAAAAGAAATGAGTGTGTTTTTTAATTATAACAGATGTAAGATCATACAAGGAATACGAAAATGATCACAAAAGGATTCCAAATCTAGTCGTCAGAATAGTCTCATTCTTTCTCCATTCACCTTTCAGTATCGGTTTGTATACCCACCTCGAAGAAGTTTCATGGTTATTTTCTTAGCCATATACGAATTATCGTTTCATCTATCGTTGGACTACTGCTGTCTGTCTTTTAAGTGCCCCTTCTATGGGCCGAAAATAAATGCAATTTAGAGTATCAAGTCATGATTGTAGGATGGATGAGGCAAGGTTGTCTAGACCCGCGCTCTGTTTGCTTGTCTGATATTGTCATTTGGCTACGTATCCTTGTTTTTGTTTTGCCCTCGTACGAGTTACAATTGGTATAATTGGAATATAAAATAAGAATATATCTCTTTTTTTATACCAAAAAACAATGACTATCACTTGCTTTGCGAAATGTGTTGGTCTTTCATTCGTTTTTCCCCTGGGTTGTGGCACTCCGTTATTTCTTTTTGTTATCTTAGCTCATATATAAGTGAATCCAGGGCTTCTTATAAAGGTAATCGTCATGTCGTGCATCCCCAGCACTTAAACTGCAACTACACTCATGTAGTCAGTTAGAATTCCGGAAATTTACTTTGCAGAGGCTTGGCGTAATCAAGAGATGACAGTAAACTGCAGGCATTACCATGGATCGCCAGGAGGTTTAGGGGTAATAATGGTACTTACGTCAACTGTTATAAGAACACCAGTCTATTCAACTTATACTCATTCACAGCAGTAGCATGCCTGAAAATGTGGTGTCTGTAAGATAAGTTTCTTCTCTCTCTCTAGGATTGCGATTAATTCTACCGAACCATCTTCTTACTGTAGAGAATTTCTATAAACCTTCACGAACCACATGTAAATGTTTGCAGTACTTTTTCTTTCCAAAAAGAAACATTCTATGAAGTTCTTTGTTTTGAGTGTAGTAGCTGTGAAAAGTCAAGGAACATGATTAGATAAAGCATTTCACTCTTTATTGTTAAAACACACTTAAAACTTAACAGAATTTTAAATATGGTCAAACCATGTACAAATTGTGCTAGTTAGGCTAATTGATTCCAAATGTTATGCTGTATAGTTCGCTTGAATTTTGATAAAGTCGAAAACGAAGATATATCTGCGCTGATCAATTTAGACCAGTCTAGGAATTTCGATAGGGTTGACCATCATTTCCTAGAGTTTGTTTTGTCAACAGTTGAACTTTCATTCTTGAATGCAATAGCGGAGGTGAAAGTGGTGAGAATTATTCATATTTCATCGTCAGGATTGTCAAATTTCGCATATACTTTATATTCTTCCTGCACAGCGTTACGTTGTCTGGTGCTTTCATCATGTCTAGGCAAACCGTCTGCTTGTAATGTCGAAAGAGGTAGGAAAAGAAATCAGATGAGACGTTGATAGAGACCAAAAGACAGGTGGCTCGCGTTCAGGCGTTTTCTCTGGAACTTTCAGGTGTACAGATAAGCAATTCCTAAGTGGGTCTGCTACAGAAACACACCGGAAAAAGAGAGCTCAATGCCATATTAACTGGCAGAGTCTTAATACTTCTAAATGAATAAATTTCCGGTGAACAGTGGCCGGTCATAACTAAAAGTTTCATGCGTTCTCATGCCGTCGGCAAAAGTTATTTGTGAAAATGGGTATTTTGTAACCTTTGGGAAAGTTCAAGATGTTACAAGTCTGGAAAAATATACTTTTATGTATACAATAAAAAAAATAATAAAAATCTAAACAAAAATACCCTATCAGTCAGTCTCGTTAAACGAAATACACACACACAGATATATATTATACACTTAAACGTTATTTTTACTGGATACCCAGATTTCAGTAGCGTAGAAGTATCCCAGGAACCAGCACACGCCAACAGGCATGTTCTGCATGGAATCAGACATGTAACTCGTGCGGCATCTAAGGTCATTTTTCAAATGTTTGCCGATCCAGATCAAGAAGTCGCTCTAGTGAAGTGAGAGGCCTTCAAGATGATGAAGCTAACATGGACAGTTTGATTGCACATGTGGATTTTGACCAGGAGACATGCTCATATGTGTCATCTAACAAAAATAGTGTTGTGGAGATAGAAGCAACACTGGTCCCATTTTCTCCAAAGCCAGACCCCAGAAATCCTGAAGATATTCCACGTAATCTAAGCACTCGGTTGAGGACCTTCCCAGACAGTGGGTCCACTATCTGCATGGGAGGACCCAAGCACCTACATTGCATGGGTCTCAAGGAAAGTAACTTGATCCCATCCAAAAAAGTAATTCGTGCAGTAATTATAAGCCAGGGATGGTTGCCTGTTCAGTTCGGTGTTGGAAAAATGTCGACAAAGCAAGCATTGTATATCTGCAATAACATCGATAAGCTACATTTTAGCAAGGCCGCCTGTATTGATGTAGGCATACTGTCTCCTCACTTCCCCACACCTATGACTGTGTCAGCCCAAAGCGACATAAATTGGATGACCAAAGATGATACAGTAGCTGTGTGCCTCCCCAATACGGAGCAAAAGCATTCCACAAAATTCCAACTACCGATTCGCCCTGAAGAACCCCCTCTCTTTCCAGCAAACGAAGAAAATGTGGAGAACCTGAAAAAATGGTTACTGAGACAATTTGAAATTCAGCGTTCATGTCTGGTAAACCCGAACATATCCACCTGAAAGAGGGGACAATCCCTAAAGCCAAACACAGACCTATACCAGTGCCATACCACTTAAAAGAACCAGTGAGGCAAGCCTTTATGCGAGACATAGAAAGGGGCATATTAAAACAAGTACCCATTGGCACTCCTACAGATTGGTGCAGCACTATGGCGATTACCACAAAAAAGGATGGTCGATCAATATCTAAATTTACAATGCAAGCGAGAAACCCACCACACTGCCTCACCTTTCCAGCTGGCAATGCAGGTGCCGCCCAATACCAAGAAAACAGTTGCTGGATGCTGTCGATGGCTCGCACTCTATTATATTAGACGAGGAGTCCCAACCACTCACAACTTTTATCACAGAGTGGGGGGAGGTTTATGTACAATTAGCTGTCTTGCTTTTCTAACAATACACAAGAAGGCAGCCATGTTAGCATGTAAGTCACTTGACTTCTACATTTCATTTAGCCATCGATGGGACATAGCTGGGCGAATAGTAGAGACGCTTCTCAACCGTCAATATAGGATTAGAATTGCAGGATCAGGCAGAATAACCCTGAGGAACCTAAGAAAACTTAAAGCGCCTGTGTATCCGACGATTACAAATATGTGTAGACCACATCAATCTGCCAAAGAATCGGGAAATGGTGGCATTGCACTGCAAAGTGACCTGGCTCAATCGCCGCCCATCAAGAACCAGGATTCCCAGGGCGCTATCCCAACTACTCCCGCACAATTGGCCTGGCAATAAGGAACTGATTCCTCCCCAACGGCCAATATGCTTCCGCAATGGGGAGAGGAGGGTGATGTAGAAGTCAAGTACATTTTTGGAAAAGCAAGCCAGTTAATTTTACCTCATTTATAGGAAAGTACCTAATGCACCAGTTGGGTTGGTCCATTTTGCTAAAATAGACCTGCCCAATACATTTGCATGAGTGGTTTCTATTCACCCATATATCTCTCCATTAAATGACTCAGGTTAGTTTTTACTTGTGATTATGTGTTTGACATTTTTTTGTTCAGTCTGAGAATCCTTTGAACCGCTAACTGCTGTTATTCTGTTAAGTTTTGATTTATTTTTCGTTTTTTCTTACGTTCTTTTTGACTGTTTTATAAATCTTTGATTTTTTCCTTTTCAATTCCTTACCCTACCCATTTTTTGTTTTTACTTTATTTTTCTGTTATTTTTTAATTTTTGATTTTCTTTTACAGTTTATTTTCCTTTTTTTAAATTTATTTTCTTCCCGTACTCCCTTCACAAATTTTATCTGTTTATTTTTCTTTCTACGTTTCTTCATTCGACTTTATTTTTCTTTGATTACGTGTTACTTTATTTCTGTGTTTTTTTTTTATTTTGAATATCCGTAAAGTTCTGTGTTTTATCTGTTAATTTCGTCTGTAATATATTTGTTTGTAAATTTTGTGTTTAGTTTGTATATTCTGTACATTTTTTTTCTTTCCTTGTTTATCGTTTTGTTTTAGGGTTCACCGTTTTTATCGGGAGCCATATTGTAAATTGTTACATTTATATTTTCATACTTTATTTGTATACCGTTTTTTTACTTTTCCGTTTATAACTCTTCGTTT